GCTTAAGCTCTGATATCCTATACCTAATGACTCTCTTTGGGGAAGTCACCAGGGATCTCTGATTTGCTCTGTCCTACTTGTGGAAGAGAGAGGGAGGAGACAGGAAGGGGGGAGGCAAGAGAGAAGGATGAGAGAGGGAAGAGAAGGAGAGGGAGAGTCTCTAAGACACATGGTTCAAATCCACCAGCTGCACTGTAGAATAAGGATGGACAATGTCCTCCCCTGCGATTTACTATCTATGGCACAGTGATTCTCCAACAGGTATGAGTCTCAAAATCATTACAGGAGGAGATGGCACATCTTTCTCTCATGGAGCTGCTGGCAGATTCGAATCACCGACCTTTCGGTTAGCAGTTCAATAGGAAACTCACTACAACACCAGAAAAAGTGTCTATGTTTAATTAAGACCAATTAATAATCTACTAACTCTTTGTTGTTATTTTTTGTCATATGTATAATTTCTAGTCATATATTCCTTTTTTTCATTATCGTACTTATTCACATAATTTGAATACATTGTTTTCCAGAATAGATTCTTCCAACTTCCCTCACTCTCTACCCATCAAATTGTTGAACCCCATGCTTAATCCCCCCTCCCCCTGTATATTCTCATCCCTCTGTGCTTCCCCCGTCCCCTCTGGATCCTTATACTCATTCTACAATAATGATTTTATACAATATTTATCCTTGTGGGACTGAGTTAGTTCACTCAGCATAATGCTCTCCAGACCCTCTCAAGTTAGGTAATAATTTATAAAATCATTGCTCCTGAGTACTGCACAGTATTCCATTGTGTGAATGTACCATAATTTCTCAATCCATTCATTTGTGGTTGGACATCTGGGCTGTTTCCATGTTCTTCCGATGGTTGTTAACTGGTTTTATATTTTCTAGTAAAGTTCAGTCATAATGTGTCATTAGCAAGGAAATCATAATATTCTTCTCTCAAGATGCACTTTTTAATAATAATTAAAATGTTACCAAAACTGTTTTTTATACAAAACATAGTGTTTTGTTGTGTATGTTTTTATCATAAATGAAGCAGAAGAAAATACAATTACCATTTTGAGTATACTGAAAATATCCCTCCATTTAATTTCATTTTGGGAATTGGGGCACAGCAAGTAGGCGACTGAAGGTTGACTATTTGGGAAGATCTTCTAAACCTACTGGCAGGCTAAACCCAGCAAATGTGGCCGTAGGAGGAAAGAAAGAGTCTTCTAGTGGCATCATTGTGATCTGATACTGAGGAGCTACATGATGAGCTCCAAATAAACTGGGCATCCAGGAAAAGAGAAGGGAAAAGGCCAGGTCAGCCATGATGTTAAAAATACTTTCTCTGTGGGAGAAAAGTCATCAAATATTTATTTACTGCTTACCTCTTTGAATACATTTGAAAGTTCAATGGGATGACTCCAATATATCTACCACCTAAAGCTAAGAGACAGACCATTTCTATTATTTTAAATGAGTCTTTTGAACACCTAAACCATACACTCATTCATTAAAAATATTCTAAGTATCTGCTGTATGGTTAGTATCATTCTAAGCACTAAGGACATGGCAACAAATAAGCTACATGGGACTCATATCTTAGATAAAGAAATAAATGGCAATGTTTTGGAGGCAGCATTAAGAGCTACATATGAGTACTCAGCCTATGATAAATACAATGGAGAAAAAGAAATTAGGAAATGGAGATAAAAGTATTCATTTGTATTCATTACAAATGGCCTTTTAAAGATTTTATGACAGATGCTATAGTAAGACTTTAATAATAAATATCCTGTTTCTAAATATTACATTTTATGTTGTTGTTGCTGTTGACTATCAAGTCAGAACTGACTCACAGCTGATCCTCTAGTGGGTTTTCAGAGGAAATATAGTGCCTGAGAGGAGATTGCCCATACTTCTTCTTGGAGTAGTTGATGAATTCAAACCGAGTGCCTCTGCGTTGGGAGCACAATTCCTTATATAACTTTAAATATTTAAATTATGTATTAATTAATTTATTGTCATTCTTGGAATATATTACTGATTAGTTGTTAGGTACCACAGAGTCAGAACCAACTCATAGCAGACTCTCTGTTGGGTTTTCAGAGGCAGTTAATAGCACAGGAGCTGTGGGCCTCAAACCGTTTACCTTTGGGATTACAGCGCAGCTTCGAGCCACTAGGCTACCAGACCTCCCTTTTTACTGGTTATGTTTATTATTTAATAACAACGTTTTGGTCAAGAGTACAATTTACAACAAACTGACACTAGTCTTTCAGGTAGATATAATGTACTTTAGGTTATTATTTTATGAAGGAATAGTGTTTTTTAAATTTTTTTAAGTGGAGCTTGACTAAGTGGTGATGGTTTCAACAAGGAATGAACCAAGGGACTTCAGGTGGCAGTGATTTTCAAGTGTAAAAAATATAATTAGGTTGCTCTATTGTATGGTACTGGAAACAAGTCTGAAAGTCATCTACAGGAGCTGGTTCTACAGAAGCTGTTGGCTGGGATTGGTGAGCAGTAGGGTGGAATGTTGATTCGCTAAGGGAAGCGAAGCGATGTGCTAAGGCCTCCTATTTAAAAACCCATTAGGGCCCGAGGGCTGCTTAAATTGATTTTTGTCAAACATTCTTCTAAGTGGTATAGCACTGGTCTGTGCACTGCTGTATAGAGGTAACTTCGTGGTTGCTGTGATGCTAAACACTGTGATACTGATGTGCCAAATGCGGTAATGGCTACCCATGGTGGGCAGCGTTTGGTGGAGCTCTCTGATTAAAACAAGCTTGGAAGCAGGAGTGGCATCTACTTCCGAAATGGCTTGCCTCTGGAAACCCTACAAACTTGGACAAATGATCAAAGTTATACAAGTGATCAGGTCTTTCGTTCATAGGGTCACTAAGAGTCGCCTACGACTCGAGGGTACTTAATCCCAACAACAACATACTAAATTCACATTATACAATCTAGATCAACTACCAATCCCTTTTGATCATTAGTACGAGTCATGAAGTAACAATATTTGACATTTCTCCTACTCTAGAACTTGAAATTGAATTCTAAAATACTCTAAAAAGACCTCATTTGTTATAATAAGTCAGTTTTACAAACTAAAATTCACACAAACTACTTACATTTTAATTGGTCAGGACTTTAATTTGAGCTAAGACATTTGTAACCTGCGCATCAGTGAGAGCACATGACACTGGAGAACAGAAGAATAAAGGGCTGTCTGTCTTACAGGCAAACTACTATGAGTCAGACAATCCTCAATGGCAGTGGGTTACAGACAGCTCTGCAACAATATTATCAACAAATAAGAGTTTAATATTGATACAATGTAGACAGGAACACTCAAGATGTATGGGAGGGGATAAGGGAGCAAACTCAACTGCAGATAAATGGTTGTAGGTTGTTATGCGCCTTTGAGTACCTGCTACTCATAGTGACCCTATGCACAATAGCTCTGAACCTTGCCCTATGACTCTACACAATAGCTCTGAATCCTGCCCCATCCTGAGCAAGTCTCAGTGTTTCAGACACACCTACCCCCCATTATCTCAGTTACTGTGTCAATCCATTTTATGCTGGGTCTTCCTCTCTTGTGCTGTCCTTCTCCAAGGACTGGTCCCTCATGATAACATGCCCAAAGTGTGTGAGACAGAGCTTCAAAATTCTTGCCTCCAAAAAGTAGCTTGGTTTCACCTTCTCCAGGAAAGATCTATTATTGTGGCAGCCCATGGTATGTTCAATACTCTTCTCCAGGACCACATTTCAATTCTTCTTCTGTCATCCTATTCACTGTCCAGCCTTCTGATGATTACAGCAAGTAATTACAAAGACGTCAGTCTGGAATAGGTCTACCTTAGTATCTAGATGGACATTGTTGCTCTTCAGTACTTTGGAGAGGTGATGACAGCAGATTTTCCCAATGCAATTAGTTTTTTTTGAGGTTTTTTTTTTTTTTAAATTTCCTGACTACTGGTGTCAACAGTGTTGACTGTGGAACCAAGTAAACTAAAATTGTTAACAATCTCAATCTCTTCACCAACTATCATGTTGTAGTCAATTGGCTCAGTGGTTGACAATCTTTGTTTTACTGATGTTGAGCTTCAGTTCATATGGGACACTATAGTCCCACATAAATAATTGTAGAGCTACATGTATATTAACACATGTACAGCATACACAAAGGACACAGTTGTGGAACTTCTTGGATATAATTAAGTATCTTACAAGACTAAGCTCTTATGCTCAAAGGTAAAGAACCATGGACTTAGGGAGCAACAATGTAAATATAATGCTGTGAGCACCCAACTCTGCTGAGTAATGTCCAAGTCCTAAATGTTCCAGAGTGACCATTAAAGAGACAGCTGCTGAACTGTATTTATCTGGAACAAAGAAGCAGAGGGAACCCAAGGGAGACAGACCAGAGGACCAAGGGACCACACAAACTACAGCTTATACATTCCAGACAGCCTAACTAGATGTACCTAGCTCCTAGAGGTGTCGTAGATAGGACAAGAGAAAAATACAGAAATCAAATTCACCAAAAAAGAGTAGCATTACTAACTGCACAACAGCTGAAGGAAACCTTTAGCTTTGGGCCCTGTAAACACCTTTCTGATCTTAGACCAAAGGTATTCCCAAAGACCACCTTCCAGCCAAGTAATATACAGGCCTATAAGACAAACAGTAATACTCAAGAGGAATATGTCCTTAGAACAGTTATATGAGATCAAAAGGACAACATGTACGCAAAAGCAAAATGAGAAGGAAGGAAGTAGTAGAAAGTTCAGCCCTAAAAAAAAGGTGGAACCCAGGGTTGACCTGGGGAGAGCACTAACATACTGTAAGGAATGCAACCAATGTCATTGAAACACTCTATGTGCAAATTACATAACGAAAGGCCAACCTGTTCTGTGTAATTTCATCTAAAGCACAACAGAAAGAACAGGGAGGAAAAACCCAACATAATAAATTGAAAGTCAGAATATAAATCTTACCTTTAGGCTGGTATGAGAACGTGGTTGACTTAATTCCTGAAACTTCCATTGTTCTGATCCCGGGGTCTCACCTCCTTTCTGAGTGTCAGGTGTAAGCAAACCATCTCCAGCAGGCAATGGAAAAATCCCTAATGATATAGGTCGTTCTTTTCTATTGGGAGACAGGAAAATTAATCATGCTTTCTTTTTTTTGCACCCTTGGCCATGCCTAGACTGACAATGCTTTAGAATCACCCTTTAAAGAATATTGCCTGATGACCTGAACCAATAGACATACGAACAGACATAGGAAATAGACAAAGGGAAAGAATTTCAGGAGTTTTTAAAATTAGTTATAAGGAATCAACCGAGAAAGGTGTAGTCCATGGTTTAGGAAATCTTATCAATTATTGATGAGTTTCTTGCCCAAGACTCAGGCTGCAGTCTAGTTTCACACTGAAAAGAGCTGCTGAATTTTCACTGGAGCTCAGGTGGTTGTTGTGTACGATTGAAGAAGAACTGACCCACAGCTGATCCTCTAATAGGTTTTCAGAGAGAGTAAATGGTCTGAGAGGAGGCTTGCCCATCTTTCTCCTGTAGAATAGTCAGTGGATTCTGTTGGTGTACCTTTGCACTGGCAGTACAATTCTTTGCCACCATGTCAGGCCAAAGCAAACCTGCAACCCACACATGCCTCCTGTTTTGGAAGTGATGCCAACATGTGCTTTTAGATTTCCTGAATTCCCACACCATTCACTGTTAACCATGCCTCGTCAAGGGAGGTTTTTCCTGCCTATAAGAAAATCACATACTATTAACACCAGACTACTAATTAAATAGTAAGAAGAACTTGAAAGATTTCCATCCCCCTCCCCAAAGTAAAGAAAAAAGGTTTTTCTATATAGCCATCATATATGATCCTTCCAGACACAGAAATAAACCTGTCACCTTTTTTCCAAATGGAAACAAAACAGTTTTGGTTGTTTTTTGTTTTGTTTTGTTTTTTCTTGGGGGGGGAGTTTGTTTTATGAAAAAGTGCAGAATTTCCATTGCTTTGTGGGAAATTGCAATGCACCAGAGTTACCATTTTAATAATAATGGAATTTCATCCAAAAACACATCCATTGTTGATGCACAGAAGATTCCAAGTCAAAAGGTTTTTTCAAGATTGAAAATGGGCCTACCAACAGGTCACTTTGGGTCATTAACTCCCATCTGTGCAAAGTGGAAAGAAATGAATGTACACTAAAAGTTTGCAGCCCCCTGGAACCCATAATCCTCTACTGCTGAGAATATAAGCACAAACAGAAACATTGAGGTTATACAGAAAAGTGGGGGAAATATTCCATTTTGCTAAATAAAATAAGCCTTTTATTCTGTAAGCTCATTTTGATACCAAAGAGACTTAAGCCACTTTTAAAAAACTGCCCTCACATAATACAAAGACGTACTCTTCAATTTCTAACAATCAGAAAAGCTTATTAAACACTTGGAATGCATTCTTAAAGATTAGGTGAAGCAGAAGGGTTGAGAGATTTTTTAAGAGTTCTACACACACACACACACACACACCCCTGAAAACCAGGCTTTTCCCTATCAGAGAAAATTATTATCTCAAGAGTTAATGTTTATCATTATTTAGAGTTATTTATCATTTCACACTTGGGAGTGCTTTACCCTATTTGATTTGGAAAGAAAAATCAAAAGTGGGTAGGACAGCACAATAAGTGGGTAAACTTTAACATCTAATCTAAATTTATGACTATAAACTGTCAGAATAAATTACAAAAAGTTAGAAAACTAAAGTGACTAGTCAGCTATTCTGTTTCATAAAGCTATTCCCAAATGCTGGTCAGCAACAAAGTTTTCATGAGTCCACGTATAAAAGAGACAATATTTATATCCTGATTGGATAAGATAGTATATATAATGAATACTTAATACTACATAAGATAGAATTTGATATTTCTTAAAATGATTGCCCTTATCTTTTCAACATGCCCTTTCATTCTTCAAATTGTGGTGAATGAAATTAGTGACTGGATTCCCCCATGTCAACTGCCAAAAATTTGGCAACCAGATTTTGATCCCTTAATTTTGATGGAATATATGCTGAAAATTAAAAACATAAAGGTTTAAGCATTTTAATAAAAACTTACCAAAAGAGTTAGATTTTCATTCATTCATTCATTGTACATTTTCCTCCCTCACCCTCCCTTTCCTCAAGCTAACATTTTTTAAAGAAAATACATGTTTCTGTCTTAAGAAAACAGTAACTGGGAATAAAAATTCTGACCCAAAATTGCAAAGACAATCATAAAGGTAACATAGACTTTCCTCCAGAGAATCCATCACACTACTAACAGAAATAGAGTTAAAATACAGATTTTCCTATAGGCAAGCAACATATTCATTTTCACACATATCATTTAACCTAAAAAGTTTAGAGTTTTAGACTATTGGAGAGGGTGGGTCCTGCTGTAGATCCAAGTTTTACTCTCCACCGTTATAAATTAACCACAGCCAAAACACAAATACAAAGAAAGCCTCTTTCTAGTGTTTTTATCAGTCATTCAAATACTGCTGTACAGGGAAGGGACTTTTCATCAGAGACGTCCAGCTCTCAGATGACGAGTAACCAAAGAATATACTACAAAAAAAGTACTTAAATTTCACATGTTTTAATCTGCTATTGTGGTATAGGAACAAAGCTATTATTACGAAGGAATCCTTACTGGCATTCTCTGATTTTAAAAAAAAATGGTTTTATTTCCACACACACACTTTTGACATGGTTATTTAAATAAATGCCAGTTTACGTGTATGAATAACTTCGAAAAAAAGTGTTTGAAACCACTTTTTTGCTCTGTTTAACAAAACAAGAAACCCCCAAACAAGCCCACTGGCATCTAGTCAAGTCTGACTTAGAGTGACCTGCACTGTGTTTCCAAGGCCTTAAGTCCCAGCAGAAGAGACTTCCCACTTCTCCCGCTGAGCAGAGCAGATTGATTTGAACTATCGACTCTTCAGTTGAAGCCTGGCACTTTACAAAACAGGCCACCACAGCTTCTTTTCACTAGAAAAGGTGGTTTTACATAAATAAAGGTTTAACCTAGGCTACATTTATTGAACATCCACCATACAGCAGGCACTAAACAGATGATTTCCTTATATTCTCTCATTACCTTTACATCAGCTTCAGGTTATTGGATTACTTTCCAGTGTACAGATTAGATAAAGCAATACTGGAAGACTTTAGCGATTGGCAGAGATGGAATTCAAAGCCAGGTTTGTCCAACTGGAAGCCCAATGTGCTTTCCATAGAAACGTACTATCTACTTCTTCAATATTTAATCTTAGTATTGAAGATTTTGGTATCTTTATTCAGTCAGTTCAATGGCAAATTCTGTGTCGAGAAACTTTAAAAATTCAATTATGTTAGTTCATAGATAAAATAGCTCGAGTTAAAACAGCTTTGCTAATAAAAATAATGGGTACAAATAAATAACTAACAAGCTATTTACTTTTGTAATTTACTATTTATCTTGCAACTAATATAATACTAAATCATCATCTTACTTGAGTTTATAACCACCCAATGGGGTAAATACCTTCAGCTGAGGAAACAGGCACAGAGAGATTAGGCAATGTGCCACAGGTCTGTGCACGTGGCAGAGCATTTGCACCCTGGCAGTCCAGCCCCCTACCCTAAGCTGGGACCCACTGCAGGGCACTGCTTGGCACAGCACTGCACAGCCTCTCAAGTGGAGCCTAAAGTCAAGACAGCCCTCTAACATAAACTTTATTTTATGCTCTCTCCAGTTTTGAGTTCACTTTTCATTTCTTAGAAGCCTACAAGTCACGTAAACTCTTTTAGGTACTAAAATATATACACTAAGACTGGCCTAAATTTTTATAAATGTGGAAACATATAAAAGAATACCAAGTCTCTGGTTCCAGACTACAGATTAAGATTAAATTTAATTTCTGAATCTTAAATTCTTGTTGAACTAATCAAAGCATAAGGAACACACAGAGAATTTACTGCTTTAATTCTTGTTGATTTATCTAAATCCACTATCAGGATCTGGATATTTATTTCTAGGTAACCATTTAATTAGAAAAATGTGTACTCCTCATTTAAAACCACGTACACACAACAAAAAACCACGCATACAACAGCACCCTGAAAGATAATTTTAATTTTGATTCATTTCAAACTTCTAAAATGTAGAAGACGGTCTTAATAGAATGCCAACTAGAACAAGCAGCAGTAAAGCCCCAGAGATTAATGACGGCTCCCACATTTGTCACTCAAGTCTACAAAGAAAAGAAAGAACAGTATCTGACAAAACAATAGTGAATAGGCTTTGAAACGCTTTCACAACTTTGATGTGTAAAAAAATGAGGGGGAGGGGAACACATTCCTTGTCTTAAATGGTTTATGTTCCTTCGTTTCAAAATAGATTTGTTTTAGGAGGTACATATTTAAATTAAGTCCCTTTCCATGGGCTTCTACTAAAACCAACAAAAATAATGCCTGAATCTCCATTAATCAAAACATAACTGGAACAAAATGAACCTGAGGGCTCTTCCTCAACAACTCTAAGTCCTAGCATAAAAGATACCTGCCCCCAGAAGCTCAGAAGCGAAATGCAGAGGTTTTATAAACTTAGACCTACTCTTCTGCTCTTGCTTTCCCCCTAACTCTTGGAACACTCTGTTTGGGAAAGACCACATTGACCTTGTACTTGTGTACAACAAGTACATTATAAATATCCTTTTCTTTGGTTGGTGGTTTCCAAAGGCAAAGCTGCATCCCTAGGTGATGGTCTGTAAATGACTATAAATAAGAACAGAAAGCTTCAGGCCATTTTCCATTGTTTCAATCTGCAACAGAAATGGTTACAAAGCCGACAGTGGAGCTAACAATCTAAGAAAAAGCAACTAACGCGGGGGCTTCCAAGACAAACTGGAGTACCTGAGTATCCTTGGTAGATTCTGCGTCAGCGCTGGCACACCGGTAGAAATAGAAAAGTGCACAAGCAGCAAAACCGAGAGAGACACTAAGATAGCCGAGTTAATGACCACCGCCCCGCCAACAAAGCCAAACACAAACAGCAGCATGCATCCAGGACTCATGGCGCTGCGCTGGCATGGTGAACCACCCGGACCAGGAGGCCTACACAGGGGCCACAGGGATAGCTTTGTAGTGAGGATCTGTCATTCAGCTGCTGCCACAAAAACAATGCCATCAGCAGCAGCTTTCCACTCCATCCTGCAGCAGCGCCCGAGCAATGACGTCACCCCACTGCCCGCCTCAGAACCATGGAGAGGCTGCTCCCAGCATTTATGCAGCAACCCAGAGAGCCAGGCAGCCTATGAACTCCGTTCGCGGCCACTAACAGTCAGGGCTTAGCTCATTGGCTACAATGCTTGGAGATCTACATAATTTATTCACACTCCTACATCAAACAGACAGCTAGCTTGAACCCTTTCAAACTCGCCTCTCTGTAACAAAAAGGGCTTTAAACCAATTGTGTAGAGGAGAAAAGAAAAAAAAAGACTTCAGAATTCCTACAAATCAGAAAAATTTAAACATAATTTTTCTCAAATATGAGAGACAGACAAATGCCTCAATATGCTGCTACCAGGGCATGTCTCTTGGCTTACCTTTTTAATAGCAAAGGCTGTTTATACTTATCTATGTTATTCTCTCCTGTTAACATTCCAACCCTGGCACAGAGCTTTGTGAATAAGCCTTACTATTGTTGCAGGATTAAAGAACAGAGAAAACCAGAAATACACAGATTTATTGCACTTGTTCTCAAGGCATAATACACAGTAAAACTTACCTAATTCTGTTATGAGCTGTGGATTCTAGTTGATCACTCCCTGAGAGCTGATGAAGTTTTGTTCTTTCTAAGTGTTCCATATAATTATGGATCATCTGTTTTAAAGAAAAAAAAAGTATACAAAATGTAAGACTAATACCTGAAATGAAAACAGTATGACAACAAGTGACACACTTCTAAATAATGTTATTTATCACACTACCCAATACCACATTTAAAGAATACCAATGATTGTTTTTCATGGCAAAGTAGTATGCACATGCTTCCATTTAGGGACGCTGACACCAGCAAAAGTAACCATAATCTCGTTTAGTATACAAAAATGTTTTTTCCCCATTATATCTGATGCTAGTAAATTATAAAAGAAATCAAGATATAAACACCGAAAAGAGGATGAGAAATCACTGGTTAAAAATAAGATGTTATTTAAGAAATTCATTCACACAACAAAGTAATGTGAAACTTGAGAAGAAAGCATATCTTCAAGTGGTGATTTCTTTGATTTTTCATAGCATTAGCAGGATAAGAAATAATGATTTACTGTATAGTGATTTAACTTAATACCAAGATGTTAATTTTGTCTATCTGTAGATTTAGCTGAAAGAAAATATTTTCTCCTCTGTTTTACTGCTAATTCGCTTGTGTCATTACTTAATTAGGACAAGTGATAAAATCAGAAAACTTTGATTTTTAGTTTTAAAGAACCATATGACAGAAGATGGAAATAAAATGCAAACTGTCAATAAACTCTAAGTAATTAGGTTTTACTTAATTCTTGATAATCTACAACTGTACTTCTAAGAAACCTAAATCTGGAATTCTCTCTCTCATTGCCTTCAACTCGGTTTTCTCTCTCTCATTGCCTTCAACTCGGTTCCAATTCACAGCTGATCCTCCAGAGGCCTTTACTCCCTCCCATGGACCAGGTGGATTCAAACCACCAGGGGAGCGCAGCCTCTGGGTCATTAGCAATGCAACCAGAGCTCCCCAAATCTCGAATTAAGACATTTAAAACGCAAACAATTTTCAATCATAAAAGCCTTTGTAGGTACTAACATAACAAGAAAAAAAAAATTTAAAAAATATCAGAAGGTATGTTAGTTTTTCAAAGGAATATTAAGAGTAGACTAGAGGAGGCTGATGTTATTCTTGGGAATAGTCTTTTAATTATTGAAACTGTTACAGTATGTAATAATGCATTTGCATATTACTAATCTGAAGATAAATTAATCAGACTGTTCCCTAATTAAGAAAAGTCCAAATAAGAAATGTATACAGCAAAAGAAAATTAATCCCATGGATATATGCTAAAACATTTTTCTTCTGAATTTCCATTTGTTTTATTTTAAACATACATTTTACCACTAGTAAAAGGACAGTTCTCAAAAAATCCCACTTTTGTCTTTATGTAAGCTAATCAGAAATTATTTACTGCCTTCTTTCAGGAGTGGTTAAACACTTGTGTTTAAACAAAGTCTGTCAGAGCTCAAACCCAGAAGAAAAATGGGGCAGTCTGCTTCTACAAAGGTTTACAGCCAGAGAAACCCTATAGGGAAGTTTGGCTACAATGAGTACAGCAAGGTAATTGCTGAGCTTGAAAGACACAGTTTAAATTCTCAAAAGGTTTTAAAAACCTTACACTGACTCATACGCCGGAGATAATAATCATACAGAACTAAGCAGCCCAAATGGAAGAATATAAGCTGTTACACATTCACATATAAAGAAAACAGAAACCTCTTCTATGGATTGCTTTTATAGTTATTAATCTACTTATTCTATTTCAATATAAAAAAACCCCAAAATTACCAAAAAAGCAAAGATATAATCAATTCTCTCCAAACAGCTCCCCCAAATAGTATTAAATACTGAACTCTAGTATTTAAATTAAAAAGATTAGGGGGAGGAAAGGAAAAAAAAGAGTACAAAATGTTGACTTCTAAACTTATCTAAATAAATAAGTAATCCCAAGTAATTGCATGTATTCTACTCTGATGTCCCTTAATAGTCTCTATAAAGAAATTGGTTCAGGCACAATTAAATTAACACTTCATGGAAGAGCAACAACAAAATGCACTTAACGTTTACTGAGCAGTGAGAACCAGTGCCAGCGTCAACCATTTCATTCTCTCCACACAACAATATCACAATTTTACGGATAAATGCCAGTTTACAAAGTTTAAATAACTTGCCCAAGCTGACCAGCTAATTAACGATTAATGGTTTTAATTGTGTCACAGTTAGTTAGCTTTGCTGCTAGAACTCCGGCTGCCTGACTCAGTCATCTGGGCAGTTAGCCATGTAGGGCCCTGCACTATCTGTCCAGTGGTCACCCCTTAGGTCAGCAATGAACCCACTGTCCTTTCTTCCACACACCCACAAGAAAACACCATACCCTAAAGCATTTTCTGCAACTGAAAGAAAATATTATGCACTATATTCTATAAATGCACAAAAACAGGGGGAGGGAAATACACAGCATATATATAAACAGTGATATTTCAACAATAAGGCTTCACGGTGTGACTCTATTTTAAAAAAAGTTAGTGGGGACAGGATCAGTGCAACCAGATGGAAAAGGGGGAAATCTACCATTGGTCCTCTGGCCCATCCCTCTTGGCCTCAGATGCTGTTTATTCTTCTCATGTATGTGTGAACATTAACTCACACACATGTAGGGATTAACTACTAACAATCAGCTGAAGTCCATTAAGAAAATCCCAAGCACACTGTCTAGGAAGTCCTAGCTTTGGGCAGGTCCCAACTCTTCTACCCTCAGAGACACCTCAACATCAGAAGATGACTGTCCTCTTTGACTGCAAGAGAAAACAGGGTAGTGGCGAGACTTGGGAGAAAAGTAGCCACAGGGATGACCATACTGGCCTTGAATCTTCCTGCATATGGTCCCCAAAATTGCATAACTGTATCTGTAAAGTCACCATCCTAAAAGCTGTTAAGATATCATAAGGCTAAAAGGCACAGGAAAAAAATGTTTGAGTCTAACGCAGAAAACCTGAAGCCATTCTAGAGTTCAGGCTACAAAATCTTTGACTTGGGACCCACCCGAGGTTGCAGGATATTGGGGAGTCCACTTCTTTGATTAGTATCAAAGGGGTGGGCACAGGTGGCCTGAGTCCTTCACAAGCTCATAACATTTCTACTGGCTCTGCTCCCCTCTTTAAGGCAAGTCTGAAGGAAATTTAGTAACGTGGGCAAAATTTTGCATTTAATTAGAAAAGAGTTATTCATATTACACAAAGTCCTAAGAGTTGTAGGAACTCTCCCTTAGGCAACAATGTGTTTGCAGAAGTTCAATGTAAGCAACTTTTCTGTGCCTGTAAAAAATACACTGGCTTCTTTAGAAGTTAACAATGAAAAGGTTAATGTGAAGTCCTTTTCATTTTCTTTCCCTAAGGATTTCCAGAGTTTGCCTTTAAAGGGCACCTAGTTCTTTCTGGCATTAGATAGATAGATATTTATAATTATTAATTGACTTTCAAGAACAGATGTATAAACAGAAAAAAAAAATGTGGGCTACAGTAAAACAGACCCACATTTCAAAGCAATCCTATTACTGTGTTACATAACTAAATCTTCCCTGAGGCAAAGTAAAAAAAAGGAGCCTGGAAGGGAGCTCGGGTGGCCTGGTGGAAAGGAGCAGCTCTCCCAAAAGCACCTGGTATAGGTCACTAGCTGCTCTGGGGGAGAAAGATGGGCAATCTCCTCGCATGTAATTTACTGTCTCTGAAAGTCTTCTAAAGGGTCAGCTACGGGTTACAGAAGGGAGCTAACCAGGTGGCCTATCCTCTGTGATAGTTCAAATCCACCAATAGCTCTGACAGGAAAAGATATGAAATCTATGCCTGTGCAAGGGAGCCTCCAAGGACCCAGTTAGTTCTGAAGTTCTGTTAATAAGGGCAGAAAAAGCCCTTGTGGTGTAGGGGGTAAGGCCTTGGGCTGCTAACCGAAAAGCTTCAGCTTCAAACCCACTAGTTGCTGTTTATCAAGAGAAAGATGAGGCAATCTGCTGCTGGTGTGATTTACAGTCTTGGAAGCCTGGTGGTTTCCACCCAACTCTAAAGGGTCACTGTTAAATTGGAACCATCATCGATCAGGGTATAAGGAGCCCTGTGCCACAGTAATTATGCACATGGTTGCTTATCAAAGGGCATGCAGTTCAACCACACTAGTTCCTCTTGTGGACTTTGTAAAGATTACTGCTTGAGTAAACCTGATGGGGCCGTTCTACTCTGTCCTCTGGGGTCACTATGAGTCAGAATCATCTTGACAGGAATAGTTTATTTGTTTCAAGTCAGTGTAGAGATGGAAGTGGCCCGAGGGAGTCAGAGCTGAGATTCTGCTGCCTGTGACATCTGCCTTGATTGGGGGATGAGTATAGCTCACTGACTTGGCACTTTGGATTTTCCTGAAATCTTTTTTCATTTCTGGTCTTTCCTTTTCTGAAGGAATACAAACAGAAAAATCATTGTATCCTTTCATTTGAAATGAAGAAATCAGAGGATTTTCCCCCCCTTTCAGTAACACTTTTATTTTTTAAAAATGAGAAAAAATGCAATTTCACCATAGTCACTTTTTCAAGAAAAAAAAAATAAATATATATATATACACCTGACACATCTTTGAATTTAACATACCAAAGTATGTTACATGCCATCGAGTCTACTATGACTCATAGTGACCCTATGAACGACGACGGCTCTGAACCCTGCCCTCTCCTGAGCCAGAAGCACTATAGTTTAGTAATCTTTAGTTATTATTGCCACAGTCACTGTGTCAATCCATCTCATCATGAGTCTTCCACTCCTGCGCTGACCCTCTACCATTCCAAGCATGATGTCTTTAGCTAAGGACTGGTCCCTCCTGGCCATGCCCAAAGTATGTGAGATGAAGTTTTACAATCCTTGCCTCCAAGGAACAACTTGGTTTCACTATCTCCAGGACAGACCTGTTCTCTTGGTGGTCCATGGCATGTTCAAGACTCTTCTCCAGCACCACAACTCAAAGGCATTGATTCTTCTTCTGTCATCCTTAGTCACTGTTCAGCTCTCAGATGCATAGCAAGCACTTGAGAAGACCATGGCCTGGATCAGGTGCACCTTAGTCTCTAGACTGACATCGTTGCATTTCTGGCTCAGGATACCAGATAATTAAGGATTATATATAAACGAAAGTTTAGTAATCCTTAATTATTGCAAAGGTTAGGACTTTATTGAAAAACAGAAGTGTTAGTCATAATTAATCACATCTATATCATAAAAACATTCCTCCAAACATTGACAATCTGAAGTCTTAACAGCACTATATAAGTAGTATAGAGAGATCACTGTTAGGGCACAGAAACGAATACTGTAAATTCAGTCAACAGTAAGACCCCTAACAAATATTCTTTAAATAGTCACCACATACTATCTTACTACTTTTTCAATATGTCTTACTGACATACTGAAAAGGTTGCTCCTGACTTTCCACAACTCTATAGTTCTAGATCCTTTGCAGCCAATCTTTTTCCCTTTGCCAATGGCTATCAGTTCATGCTGCAGATGTGGCTATGTAAGCTAGGTTAATAATATCCAAAGCTCACGTGTCAGAGCTAAGACTCAGGAATACATTTAAGTCCACCTCCATCCCCTACCCCCAAGATAAGTTGTTGTGTATCGCCGAGTCAGAACCAACCCACAGCTGACCCTTCAGTGGGTTTTCAGAAGCTGTAAATTACACAGGAGTAGATTGCCCATCTCTCTCCTGCAGAACAGCTGGTGTATTTGAACTGTGCCCCTTCAAGACTGCAGCACAGCTTCTTACCACTGGGCCACCAGAGCTCCCTCAGACCTGAGTTTAGGATGGAATGGTTTTATCTTCCTTAAAAGCAATAATATAAAGGCAGCTCTGGTGACCTAGTGGCAAGAATCTGCAATGCAAGCCCAAAGGCACATGGTTCAAACCCACCAGATGCTCTGCTGAAGAAGGAAGGGCAATCTCTTCCTGTGTCAATCAGATCCGATTCAATAGTACCCATCAACAATAACAACAACAAAAAGCAATACCATAGGTCCCCCCAGAGGAAGGATAAGAAATCACATCAATTATCCATACCATGGTAAAAATTATTTAAAAGGGGGGAAAAAAGGAGAGATTATACAAACTAGTGAAAGAAAAATGGAAATTAAATACTGGAACCATCTATAACATTAAAAAGACAAGACAAAAAAAGGAAAGAAAAAGAAATTATCTTTACCTATCATAAATATTGTATAGAGCAGAATTTAGGGCTCTTGTACATAGGGTCGCTATGAGTTGCAAGTGACTCGACGGCACATAACAACAACAACAACATCATAAATATTATAGGTTTATAAAAACACTATTTATCTAGGGATGTTAACTTTACATTGATCATGTCATATAAAAACACTTTTTAAACTTGGAAAATAGATGTATATATAAGAAAGGCTGACAGATAATCATAAAAAAAAGATGATTAAGAGAAACCTGGAAGCATTATGCAGAGTGAAATAACTCAGCCACATAAAGACAAATACAGTCTAAGAACACTATTTTGAAAATAGAAGGATAACCAAGCAAACTACGTACAAGTGTTGAAAACAGGAAAGGGAAAGGGGCAGGGAGAAAATAGGGACCGTCCCTAGGATAGTAGAGGCTAGGGGCAATCAGGAAGGTGAAGGAATAGGAAAGATGCAACGAGGACTTTAAGAGGCGGGGAAATAAGAAGCATAGATCATTAGCAATTACTTATATAAAACACAGTGTACATGAACGATTGTATAAAATACAATGTACATGACTGGATTTTTTTAAAAAGCCCTCAAGTCCATTTTCTGACAGTGATTTGCTCTGGAGGGATTATAAGATACTTCATTTTTAATTGTTCACTTAAAATACTGATGCAGGAAATCTGCTTTAGAGTCAATCGGATTTAACACATTATCATTTGTGCATATAGGTTATTTAAGAACATAATGAAAATTAAGTCCTTTATATTAAGACTATAAATGCAGAAACCCTTCCCCAATCCATCATTTCTCAATCACACTAACAAGAAAACCAAGTTTGTGCTCTCCGAGAACCATGTAGACATTCCACTAAACTCTGTGGCCAGTCTAGGAAACAAGTACTGGAACTGCCCTAAATAAGCAAATCATTCTGTGCCACAGTAGCTGACTACATGCAAAGCTAAATGCAGATGAAAAGCAACAGAGTCAGCATCTGGGAACTAAGGAAACAGTACATGAAATGTAATGGTTTTGGAAACATTCAATTGTCACTTCTGATAGAAAATTCAAGACCTACTTTCCCAGGTTAATTTTTTTTTTGTCTCCGTATTTGCACGCTAAAAACAACCAGGAAACTCACCTCGGTGTGTCGTTGATGTAATGCATTATATTCCTTCTTCAGTTCTGCTTCTCTTTCTTCAAGTCGGCTAACTGAAATAAAGATACAGAGACTTAATCAAAACAAGAAATTAATAAAAGAGCTCATCTTTAGAACTTAAAATGAGCTATCAAATTTTGGTCTCAATGTTTCATATAAAATTCTTCATAAGGCCAGTGACTTCATTTTATCACTTTTTTTAATAAGTAAAACTTCCACAACTGACTGTATAATATTAAAGTGCTTTCCACTTCTTTATTATCTGGAAGCACTTTTTCAACTACAGAGCTGCCTAACCGCAGTCTCTCTCATCCTCTTTTATTTAGCTCCCTCTGCTGATGAGTTTTGTGAGTGGCAATTGTTAGTGGTCACAGAGCAGAGAACTTAGTTGTAGAGTCAGAACTGACCCATAGCTGATCCTCCAGAAGGTTTTCAGAAGCAGTAAATCAAATGGGAGGAGACTGCACAATCTTCTTCCATGGAGCAGGTGGTAGATTTGAACTGTATGCCTTCAGGTTGGCAGCGCCCACTAGGCCACCAGAGCTCCCTGTTTTTTTAAAAAAATATATTTATACCCATTTTAGATTCTGAGACACAGAAGAGCTGGAGAGGATTTCATATGAAATGCTAATTAATACCATAAAGGCATGATTCAGAGGGAAAAGTGTCCAATGAGAACCACAAAGAAACTGCAGAGTACAAGACAGATGGTAGTAAGAACAGTGTGGGGACTGTTAACAGAGAAAGGAAGATCAAGCCACCACTGCTGGTGTGGCTGAGGGGAGACTGGCTGGCCTAGAAGATTCCGCACTGGCCATGTAAGATTCCGCATGGCCACATGGAGTTGTAGGCGGCAGCCTGCTGGGCTGAATTAAAGCCGGTGCTACAGGAGCTTGTCAAGTTATTCCGATGTCGACTTGAATGCCTTAGGTTAGCGGGGACTGTTCTCTAGGTTTCAGGGTCTGCAAGCTGCAAACATACTCCAGCCTATGGCTGCTTTAGATAACTGTGCAAGTAAATACCTACTACGAATTTTAACAGCCCATACAAAGTAATGCTAACATATAGACACCAAACAGAAATGTTTGGTAGATATTATGTAAATTCTTGGTGTCTTTGTACCTGCCACCTTTGAATTGCTATCTTGAGATTCTCTTATTAATTAGGAAAGCTGTAGCTGTTTTCTCTTTGATCTATTCTAATTCGGGCCTACGCGTTGACTCACTGGATTTGCAGTGAATATTAACTCAGACTGTAAAAGCACAGTGCACACAGCCAAGTACATCCATGGTTCATCTTTGCTTCAGAGTATAACCACCAAATCTATAATGAGATCATGTGATGCTGAAACCATAGTTTTTAGTATTGCTCCTATGATTTTTAAATTTTTTAAAAACAAGACATCCAAGCAAGTAACATTCAATAATAATTTCAAGGTAAACATTTTCTATTAGTTCTTTTCACTTAACTGCATCTAAAAAGCCCAAGTCGGCGAGCTCTGGTGGCCCAGTGGCAAGAAGCTGCACTGCAATCCCAGAGGTGCATGGTTCAAACCCACCAGAAGCTCTGCTGAAGAAGGAGGGACCATTTCCTCATGTACCAGTCAGATCCGATTTGATGGTACACACATAATAATAATAAAAAAAAAGCCCAAGTCGAGGCTATAGGATGAACTATATGTATCTTCAAGTACTCATCTGTGTGAACTGCTATTTCTTGTTAATATGCAACTAAAATAAATCCTATCTAGAGGCATAGCATTCAATTTCAAGTAAGTGCTCAACAGCACAAATTCATTATTCTTACCAGCTGGTGTGACACGAATTCATCACATATTATCCACCAACTGCTCCAAGGAAGGAAGAGCACCAGTCTCCTCCTATGTGATTTACAGCTTCTGAAAACCCACTGAGCTAGGAGTCATTTCCATCTTGACTGCACACAACAACTACTAACAAGAGCTAATATTGGGGAGCTCTGGTGGCCTAGTGGCAAGGAGCTGCAACTACAATCCCAGAGGCTCACGGTTTGAATCCACCAGATGCTCTGCCCGGGAAGGAGGGACAATCTCCTCCTGTACCAGTCAGATCTGATTTGACGGTACACTCACTCAAAAATAATAATAATAATAATAATAAAAAAGGGAGCTAATATCGCATAGGACTGACTTATAGAAGTACCGTTGTTGTTATTTGTTGTTAAGTGCCGTCGAGTCGTTTGCGACTCATAGCAACCCTATGTACAACAGCCCTAAACCCTGCTCTATCCTGCGCCAATCGCATTGCCTCTGACACACCCATCCCGATTACCCCAGTCACTGAATCAATCCACCTCATAGAGGGTCTTCCCCTCCTGCGCTGTCCCTCTACCCTACCAAGCATTATGTCCCTGTTCAAGGACCTGTCTCTCCTTACAACATGTCCAAAGTATGTCAGACGAAGCCCCAGAATCCTTGCCTCCAAGGAGTAGCCTGGTTAGCCCTCTCTAGGATGAATCTGTGTGTTTTCTTGGCAGTCCACGGTACATTCAACACTCCTCTCCAGCACCGTACACTATCTTAAGTACTTTACACTTAACTTATTTGAGTCTGATAGAGTAACTTTATGTCATTAACATTATTATTGCATTCATCTTAAAGTTGCAGGAATTAAAGCAAATGGGATAAGTAACTTGGCAACAGTGAGTAAATGGCAAGAGAAAGAGTTTCGTTGTTAATGCTTTTATTTTACAAATCTCTCTTTAAAAAAACTAATTTTTTTTTTATTTTATACCAGTTTACTTACAAAGTTTTTATACATTGTTACCCTTCCCATCAAACTGTGTGACCCTAGGATTATCCCCTTCCCCCCGCCCACACTCACCCTTCTGTTCCTACCCTCCCCCGCTTGGATCCTATTACACATTTTACTTGTTATCTATTTCTATAATAATGGTCTTAGACAGACAGTATTTGTCCTAGTGGGACTGAGTTAATTCACTTATGCATAATGCTCTCCAGACCCTCCAAAGTTAGGTTTAGGTGGTAATTTTCAAAATCATTGCTGCTGCATGCCGGCGTAGTATTCTGTTGTATGAATGTACCACAATTTCTTAATCCATTTGATTGTGGTTGAAAATTTGGGCTGTTTCCATGTTCTTGCAATGGTAAATAACACTGCTATGAATACTGGTGTACAAATATCTGTTTGTGCCTCAGTTCTAATTAAGAAAAGGATTTTTTTTTAATTTTCCACTAGTTTATTTACAAAACTTGAATACAAAGGCAAACAAATTATTTCAATTTCCTTCACCCCCCCACCCATCAAATTGTACAACCCGATGATTAATCTCTCTTTTCCCCATGTACATCTTTTTTTTTAATTTAGGTTGTTTATTTTTAAGAAAAGGATTCTTAATGGAGGAGTCTGTCTTTGAAACCTTTTGATTACCACACACTGCCTCTCAAAAAATACTTCATTTAAAAAGTAAAGAAATCCTCCTTTTAACCTGTTGTGGTTTTTTTTTTTTTTTAGGAAGGAAAATACTGTTTATTATGTACGTTGTTGTTATGTATAGTTTGTCTTTTATTCTGATAGTTTCTGTCATTCTAAGTTTTGTATAAAACTTTTAACCTGTTTTAAATATTACAGTCTACTCTACGATTTCATTTGGCAAAAAAGAAAATATAGAAGATAATCCTTTCTGCTCCAAACAAAATTTTCTTGTGTTCTTATATAAACAAAATCTGACAAAAATACATAAAACTGCATTTTTACTCAGTAATAATTCATTGTGTTACTAATACATCATGGAAAAGTACATTAAAACCAAATGTAACACCATCACATACCATCAAAAGGGCTAAAATGTAAGTAATGCTATGAGTACAGTCAGTGCATGTCATGCTACTGGAAGAAGTTTGGCAACAAGCAATAAAATAAAATATCACCTCTATGATGAAACAATTGTGCTCCTAGGAAATGTATATATAGATGTCCACTAAAAGGCACTTAAGACAATGTTCAAAACAGCATTATCAGCAATAATACAAACCTAGAAACAACTCAAATGACCATTAACAACAACAGATAAATAAACTGTAAAATATTCATATAATGGGATGCTACAAAACAGGAGAGTGAACAAATTATTAGCATACACAACATCATGGAAAAATATACAAGATAGTGAGGAAAAGAAGCATACACAAAAGAATACATATGATTCCAGATATACGACAATTAAAGATGTACAAAACGAATCTACAGAGGCCATGTAGACACCTTCTATGAAGAGTCCATAGCCCAATGATTCAACTAAATACCTAGATGGCCCACCCCACTTTTAACACACTGTATTAATTACTTCACAATGGCACTTTCCTTGGTGAATGAATACACACTGTTCCTTATGCTCTCTAACAAGTGTATGAGTTCAACATATAGCCCCAGTTTAGGCACACTATCCAGAATGATTACAAACTAGCTGTGATGTTGTGGCTTAAGAATTGAAATGACCAATGCCACCCAAAGGTAATAAAGGAGGTCAGAATTGCTTCCACTGTGGCAAACTGGGCCACTTCAGTAGACAGTGTCACAGACGAGAGCCACAGATAGGCAAGGGAGTAGAGAGGAAGCTCCCACTCACTTGCTTTAAGTGTGGCTCTGAAGGACACTTGGCCAAGGTGGCCCACATCAGGTCCTCATGGTAGACAGGACTGACAGGCCCCAGCTCCCAGCTGGAAACAAAGGAGGACACTTCAATTATTTAGATCCTCCCAGAAGAGCCATGGATGAGCATTAACATTACTGGTAAGTATATTCATTTTCTCCTGGACACAGAGCCTACTAATTGGTCCTAAAAGCCTTCTGAGGTCCCAACTCTTCTCACTATCTCTTAGTTGTTGGAATGGACGAAAAACCTCATAAGCAGTTCCTTACTTCACCTCTACCTTGCATGTGAACTTCCAAGTTGTAAAACAGCCCAGTGGTAGATGGAATTTGCTCCAGAACTTAAGAACCATAAATGACATCGCTGAGCCTCTACATCTTGTGGTTCCTAACCTCTACACTAT